GAGAATACGTATATACATATGTATGTATAAATATCCTGTAACGCATTTGTGCCCATTATAAGTGGCATAACAAAGTTCATGCACACGCTATGACAATGGCTGCGAAGGGGCAAATGTATCGCGTGGAAAGCACGTCATAGTATATAAAGTTGTGCAAATGTATTAGGATACATAATATAAGAAATAGACACGTTACAAATATAAACGTATTATGTGTATATGTTATTGCCTTAAATGCTTTTATACGATGTTTTTCATGTCATTTTTCATGTTAGTATTAGTTGCTTATTTAAATTTGAATTTCCGCTTTTCAGAAATGCTTAGTGAAGCAGAGCCGACATCATCATACAAATTGATTCTAATGTAATGTTTGTGCTAAATTGAAACGAACGAAATATACTTCATCATCTCCGGGATTGTAAGCGAATGTTAAGAAAAAGTATTTCATGCGAAAGCATGTGCTATATGAATGACTTTATATTGTCAAGCTTGCAATTCGTTTAAAAAAAGAAAAAGAAAAAAAAATAGGTAAAGAAATTAGTTGAGTCCATTTGTTACCGTTTTCGATTGCAGGCAAATTTGAAATGCTTTTATGCTTTTTCTGTCTAAAAACAAATTGTATGTATATGTATATATATTTATATATACGTGTATATATATGTATATATTTCGTAGTACACAATTGATTAATAATAAGATAAGAAAAAAAAAGAAAAAAGTATACATTCCGCATACGATGTACCACCACTCGGAGAATAGCATTTAACGAGAATTAATTAACCAAAGATTTTCTTTTAAATTTTCGATTGTTAAGTTAATTTTGTTTTTTGTAGTAGTCGGAGAAAATTTGTGAACATCAAAATCGCAGGTATATCAATTAAAGGGTGTGAAGATAAATTCGAATTTAACTAGCAAAGACACCTACCATTTCTGTCAACAAAACCCTGTTAACTACTTAATAGAGCTCTGTTACATAATTACAATTGCGATATAGCTGGATTTGAAAGCCTACTCCGTCCATATTAAAAAAAGGGAAAATATTTTTGTGGACATTTTTGTCGCCTATCGGTAAAAAAATCGGTAAAAATAGTTCCTGAAAGAAAAGTCTGAATTTGTTCTTGCCCATTCGATAGGTACTTTTATATAGATTCACGTGATATAGGTGAATATAGGCGAGATTTTCTAATTTGGCCGCACTAGAGTCTCAAATTTAGGTGTTTTTCCATATCCATTTTTCGCTAACTTACCGAATTTCAAACATCGTCAGAAACAGCTTCCATAAGCAGAATTTGAATTTAGTTTAGCTTGTTTGGAAGCTATTTTCATATAGATTCATGAAATGTCCACAAAAATATTTTCCTTTTTTTAATATGAACGGAGTAGGCTTTAAAATCCAACTATATCTCAATTTATCTCAATTATAATTGTTTAACAGAGCTCTGTTAAGTTGGTAACAGAGTTTTGTTATCGGAAATGGAATATGTCTTTGCTAGTTAAATTCGAATTTATAATTGGCGTTTTTAGACATTCAAGGACACTCGAAAGTGATCATTTTTCTTTTCTTCGAACAAAAAAACCGACTCCATATCAATATATTGATGTCCGCGATTACACGCTGTGTGAGCCTTAGAGAGTCAGTTTAAAATAGTCTAGCTAGGACACACTCTTGGACGCTCTTTAATTCAATTTCATCTAACACAATGACAAAGCTGCAAAATTAAGCAAACATCGTATTCACTCGTTTATTGTTCGGTTAATGTAACCGCTTTCATCACGAAAGCATTTTCGATAAGTTACAGACAGAGAAGAAAGAATCACTGTAAAAATTTTAGATATATACCCAGCTCTTTTTTACACGGTCCTTTTCACACGATTCTCAAAAGAAAAAGAAAAAACTTCTTTTTTAATTCTCATGTTGACAATGGCATGCACCTCGAACTTCCATATATATATGTAGCAACAAAATACATTAGGGGGAAGATTACCGTAATCAGAATTTTATAATTACTTTTTTCTTTATCTCGTTATATTTGAACTTGACCACAGCATTTTCATTATTCAGGACTTATTTCGTGTTCAGTTCGTGGGATGCAATAAATAATTTCAATAAAGTTCCAAAATTTATCGTTCAAATTAACGTTAGTTATATTTATAATGGATTTCATGATCACTTTTTTCGCTCGGTTCTGTATTTATTTTTTAACGATTTGAAACACATATCCCCAAATTTAGCCTAAGTGGAATATGCTTTTGTTGTTTTGGACCGTTTTCGAAAAGACACGTATTTACCGTGTAAAAAAGATCTGGGCGTGTATGTATAGATGGAAATGGAAATGAGCCATTTGCTGGCGTATTCGTATTGCGAACGCTTTTCTTTTATTTTTCCCCATTCAAAAATGTTTTTTTTTCGAATTCCACACAACTCATCCAATATCTCGGCATAAAAAAAAAAAAAAAAAAAAAAACAAAGAAAACAACCATCAACTTATCGTCGGGAAAAACATAAATTAAAATTATGCTTAAAGCAAAAAAACTTCCAAACTATCCTGAACAATACCGCAAAACAAGCAATTTTAGTCTCAACAACTATGATACGTACATATATATATATATATATATATATATAATACTGCAACAACAACGACATATTTATTTCAGCAAATTTCGTATATATATATATTTGTTAATTTATATCAATCCATGTATTTTTACAGGATCGCATTAATCACTGCATTTGCAAAACGTCCGGCTGTATGCATCTGCTGTCGGAGCTTTCACAGATCGAAAAATAAATTCTACTTTTAAAGAGAGATTATCATTGAACGAAAGATAGTGAGCCCATTATAAGTAAATATCATTATTTTAAGCCAATGACAGATATTGATCGGAAGTTTATTGCTTATAATTTATGAAGAGATTTCAAACGAATTTTTATATTATGGCTTTGGAGAATTTCTTATCAAATTTTGTAGATTAGTAAGTTTCTCGCTTCGCCATATTAGACGTGTGGACTTGGAAATTAAATAGAATACATATAGAACGTAACACTTGTTTTCACACAACACATGATATAAGCACAAATGTGCTATGAGCTCAATCGAGTTTAAAGCGTACAAAAATCCATTATCCAGTTATCGAAAGAATTGATCCGTCAGCACTTTCGAGAGTTCGTTCTGTGCTCTCGTCTTTCATTATCCAATAGCGGATACATTTATTTAATGTATTGGTTTTATTTGATGGGTGGGTATCCAAGATTCGCTCTTAAGGGCCAATAAATGCTTCTTTTAATATTGTGTTAAAGTTAACTTTATTAGATTATATAGCTTAGCTCTTTGTCCAATACCGTACAATACATTTACAAAAAATATTTCATTGACTTTAAAAATAATTGTAGTAACAATAAAAATTCTAAACTATTGAAAACTTTTCAAAGTGCTTTTTATTGTTAGTTTTTCTACCCACCATCACCGGACAGGGATATAACATTTTTTTAATTCGTTTGTAACACCCAGAAAATCGCAACATAGCTACACATTCGATTTGCATTTTTATTATTGAAATTAGTATATAGATACATAAACATGACCCGTATATAATGAAAATTTGATTATTTTTATTACAAGCTTCTGCAATTCCAATAGGCGTCTGAGATGCCGTAATCAAGTTTTCGAAAATGAGATCAGTTTTCAGAAGTCAGTTGTTCGACCTATAATAAGCTATATAAGCGAATTTCTACATTCATACTTAAGCGTCATATAGGCGGATTTTCTGCAAATTAGCTTATTCTCTAAAGCATTGCGCAAATACTCGGTTCGTCGACATCATCACTCACTCTCTCTATTGTGACATTTGCAAAAATGCCATACGATCTTATGATTTTTGAAGTGAATTCGCAAAAAGCATAATGTTTTGTGGAAAAATCTCAGCAAAACTCACAGAACATGCTACTTATTGCAATTTAAAAGCGACTTAAATCGAATTACTATTGAATATCATTGTCTTCTATCAAACCCTATTTATAAGATGATTTAAGAAGCTAATATACATTGATCGATTTTGGTTCTGCAAAAAAAGTGAAATGGAAATGTCTTTACTTCCTCGCAGAGCACTTTAATATTCGGTTCATATGTCATTATCTCGGCGTAGCTACTGCTTCTCATTTCATAACATTGAGGAGAGCTTTATAAAGTTTCAGTAATGAATTTGGCAATCATAATAATACACTATACTTTTGTCGCATTGTCTTTATTGTTTAGAAGACATCGACAAGTTTCAGTTCCGTAAAAGCTTTTATTTTATTTCAAGTATACAGAAACACTATACTTTAGATTTTCATTTCCAACAATTGAAAATGATATTATAATCCAGAAAGAATGATATACTAATATTAAAGTACGCGATTCCATTGCACACTCATACAATTTAACAATTTTAACGAAATATAGCACATGCAAGAGCAATACATTTTAGCAAATTGGTTAATCAACCACATCCACTGTTTCATTGTACTTTAACGTACTAATCATTTCACAGAATTTCATTGATGTAATCTTTTCTGTGCATATGTGTTCTAGCTCCTTTTAACCTACCAATCATTGGTTAGATTATAAAATGCAATGCATTTCCCATCCTTCGATTCGCACAAAAAGATCAGTGTAGGCTTTCAAAACGTTCCCGATTAACTTGCCGTAGAAATAGTGTGCAAAAGCGTAACGCATATTGAATTTTTGCATACGAGGGCAACTAATCAAATTGATTTAGAATTTGAACGTCATTGTGATAGCTGAGAAATGTTCAATATTATGACAATGTTCAATATTAATCTTGCGATGCGTAATATTTCATACAACAATAAAAGTTGGCGTAAAGCTTAAAAATCATTTCATATAACCAAATGAAACAAACTTCAAAATTGGAAATAAAATCAACAAGAAGCCATGTCACATAAGGATACATATAAGCACATTTATAATTGAGAGAGTGAAAGGGACAACACTTACTTTATCCAAACATTTAAGCTCCTCGATCGGATAGACAATTTTTTGACATCTGGCACAGGTTTTATTCATGTTGTCGGAGGCGTTGCAGTTATTCTTGGTTTTTAAAGAAAAAAATCGAAACACTTTTTAAAATTTATTTTAACAGTTCGTAAATCAAAGAAATTTTACACACTCGCAAAACAAAAACAACAGTTTCCTTTTTTTTATTATATTTTTTTTTTATTTATTTATTTACTTGGGACGTGAATTTGCTTTTGTTTTTCTTTGTTATTATTATTACTATTATTATTATTATTTATTATTTTCTTTTTTCTTTTAATTGCTTTTTCACTCGTGTTTAGTTTTTTGCGGCTTTTTTTATTATATAAAAGAAAAAAAAAAAGAAACAAACAAACAAGAAACGATCTCTTTGTTGCTGTGCCTGTTCAAACGCTCTTTTGTTGAAATCGTTTGATTATTCTTGCCGTTGTTGTGTGAGATGATGTTTTATAGCCGCCAGGACTGGTTTTTTTTTTTTTGCATTTAAAATCTCCTTCTCTGAACACACAAGAAAAGCACAGCAAAAGAAATCAACACAAAAAAAATGTGGAGAAAAACAAAATAAATTTGTTTTAAAATATTTTTGGAATTTATATGCCTGTGTTTCCTGTGTTTTAAAATATAATACCAGAATGCGCAAAGTTTGAAAAATTTTTAAATTTATTTTTTTGACATTAAATTCATAGAGCACTTTTTGTCAATGAAAACAAAAATGTATTTAAAGTAGAAAACTTAAGAAAACAACAAACGTTCAAATATTAGAAGTATAAAACATAAAACCTAAACCATAAAAGAAACGTATGCACTATTGTTATGTACGTGCTAATCGGATAATACAATAACATAAAAGAATCCAGTTGGTAAATTTTACCATCTTTTTTTTCTGCTCTCCCCTCATCTATGCTCTTCTCTTTTTCTCATTAATTTTTCAACATTTTGCTTGCTTTGCCTCCAATCATTGCATGTAACACGAGAGATCTTGCATCTTGCATCGATCACTTTGTACTTTGCAAACGAATACTTGCTTTTTGGTTAAACAAAAAAAAAAAAAAAACAACAACCAACAATAATTTGCCTTTTCTTAATACATACACAAAACACCATATATATAAATATATATCTATATCTATATATTTCCCACCTTTATTTAATTGAATTAAATACGGCTTAAAAATAATCTTTCCTTCTCAATTCGCACAATTCGTATACCAAGAACTTTAACTGCACTACTTTGTTTACCGCCAGTTAAATTTCTGCGAACGCAACTCGACCGAACAAGCGAAAAAATCTACACATCTTTACCGTTTAAAAGTTCAAAAATTTTTAATTTGTCGAATATAATTTTATCTTGCAAAAACTATTTATTTATTTACTAAATGCATTCATTATTTTGCTTTGGCTCTCGCGACAATAACAACTTTATCGTCCGATTCGAATATTATATTTTCTCAGAATATATGTATTGCAAGCTTCACCTCAAGAAGCTAAATACACCTCTAAAAGTCTACCGCAACCGCTTTTACCGATAAATGTGACATGTGACCAAGACAACAACACAAACTAAACTGAACAAACTGTTTTTATAAAATGCATACTTATACAATAACGTTAACGCCGTCTGTTGTTCACAATAAGTTCTTTCGTTCATTTCCTTTTATTTAATATAAAACACACGAAACACAGATATGGCAATAAAATCTTCAATTGTTGATTTGTTAAATAGCAAAGGAAGAAGAAGCATAAAACATGTCTGTAATTATAGAACTGAAACACCTGATTCTGAAACATATGCTTCCTTTCTTTCTTTTATTATTTTTCAATAAGCGTAAATTTAAATTTTTCAAATTAACAAACCATTTTTATTATTTATTTCGAAACATAGTGAAAATTAATACTTTTTTTTTCTTTTTAGAAATTTTTATAATTATTTGGCGTTAAATCTTTCTTAACATTTTTATTATTCTTATATTTTTAATATTATTACATTTATAATAGTGTACTGTGCAGAATTGCAAATATAGTAGACGTTGAAAAAAGATTAGTGTTTAAAATTCCTGTAAATATATTGCGAAATTGGCTAACCATATCATATCATGCATGATGAAATGCTAAAACATATTATTTTCATGAAAATTGAAAAAGTACTATGGAAAATATATATAAAATATTGATATCTAAATATAGTTTTCACTTCCTTGGTTTTTAAGAATCTTTTCCAACACTTTCAGATCTATAACCTAACCATTTTCACATTCTTCTTTCTCAATATTAAAATAAAAATGTTGTTTTTTTTGTATAGTTGCTGTCGAAAAGATCTGTAGTTGATAACAAGGGGTGTAAAATTCCATAAAAAGCACAAAATTTTCAAGTAAACTGCGAGTCGATAGCTATGGATGATATAAAGCGAAGTACATATTTTGTATTATTATTGTATTCTGTAAATTTATATTTTGCAATAACCAACATATTCAATAAAGTTAAAAAAAGAAAGAAAAGCAAAAATATACATGCTTTATTTATATATATATATATAGATTTTATTTATTACTTTACTGGTGCTACTGTTTGTTTTGTCAAATTGTTAATTTTTTTGTTTGTATAGGTTTGATACAGATTTTTTTGCATTGATTTGTCATGTTAACAGAGCTTTTTAATTTGTTGTTTATCTTTTCACATTTTTTTAATTTAACAGTTATAAATGCCGGCGGCTTTGCCTTTTTAACAGATTATTCAGCTATGCTTTGCCTTTTCAACAGAGAATTTAGCTACTGCTTTGTTTAATTTGATAATCAAAATTACGGCGGTCTACTTTTAGGCTAACTTGTAAAGTTATTATTATTATTATATTATTTTTATTATATTATATATTTAGCCAGAGAATAAATTCTTTTCTCTTAAAGTCGAGACTCTTGCCACTCAGGTGGATAACTTGTAAAATTAAATAAGTTTAGTTCGCGTATTTTCCAAAACACTATACATCATATATAGTAATCTAGTGTACGTACATCTATATATATATATTTGTTCGTTAAAATGTATTGTACATATACGCAAAGTTATGAAATATTTACAACGTTTAACGTTTAACATAACACACGAAAGACAAACTATGAATAAATTTTTTTTTTAAGTTGCGATATTACAAATAAATATTAAATTTTAAGATTCCAATCTGCTCTACGACTTATCATCTATTATTTTTAAATTTCTCTCATTATAATTTCAGTTTTTAAATTTTAATTGAAAGAAAAAAAAAGGAAAAATAAAAGAAAAACAGTTTCAGACTGAATCTTAGATACCTACAAGTCGATACAAGATCACAGCAGTTTTTTAAAATTGACGAAATAGTGCAAATATATTTTTTTTTTTCACGCAAATACATTTTTTTTTAAGTCGAGCAGAATTTATGTATGAATAGAGGCAAAAAAAAAACTGAGAAAGTTTTATTCGTAATAGAGGCTTGCGTGCATCCAAGCGTTCATAAATTGGTAACATTATGCATTTACGATGACACTATACATCTAGAGGAGGTAATAGAAGAGCAAAAGCGACCTAGTCAAGGAAAAAGAATCGGTCACAATCAGGAGACCATTAAAAAGAATAACAATTTCTTTTATATATATTTTTATATAAATTAATAAAGTATTTTAAATGTATAATAAAGCTATTATATAAGTAAAGCTATTTATTTTATTCATATTTAAATATAAGTTATATAAATTAATATACAGCAACAGGAAAGGCCAGTTTGATTTTCCCAATGACAAATCAAAGCGGTTGAAAAAGCGTTTGTTGCTATAAGGTCCAACTAGACGGTGGTTATATTTTTATTGAAAATTAAATTTTGGATTTAATGACAACAAGCGCTTTTTACGACACATCATTGGGACATTTAAAGTCGAATGCCCGGTTTGTTTGGATTCATCATTAAGAGCCAACAATGTATCAATGTATCATCGGTCTGTTGACATAAAAATATCTCCAACATGCAAACTATTTTACACATTTCACACATGGTTATATATATGAATAACAAACATGTCCCAACTTTCAAATCTGTAAAGAAAAACACAAGAAACTTTCTGATTGTGTTGGTATCAGTTTATATAATTAAAAACTTCAAAGCCTTGTTTCATTTATTAATATTTTTTTTATTTATTTATTTTTTTTGTTAATTGTGCTTTTACCCAAGGATGAAGGAAGAAATTTAAGTGAGAGCGAGATCGACGGATTAACACTTTCATGATCATAACAGTAATGATGCTGCATTGCTCCTTCAGCTATAGTCATTCTTCAATTTTGCGACCATGAGTACGCTTCCCGTAGCATTTGCGAATCTGCGTTATCATAACACAAAATACTAATTTGTTCGGCAGGTAACGGCCGATCTCTATACGAAAGATGGCCACAGATACCGTCCCCACACTTCATCTAGACACTTATAAAGGAAACAGCCCGTTAAAAAAACAAGTGGAAGAAATAGAACAGGACGACGACAATATCCCATCAACATCAAAACGATTAAAGAGAACCTTGGATTATAATTGTCTAAACATATCAGAAAATCCAATACAGTTCCCGAAAGAGGGAAACAATTAAAATTCAATAGAGCTCCCGAAAAAGGGAAACACAATAAGAGAAAATTCAATTGTCAGTAATGAAGATAAATTTCCGCTAAATGATATTGTAACATTAAGAAATGAAAACGACCGGCATAATAAAGAAAATGAAAAACTTAAGAAAAAAGTGATGTTTTAAAAAAAAAGTGCGTTATCACACATATGAAGATCGCTAAGCCAGCAAACCTTCTCGAAAGCTATTAGCAAAAATAAAACTGATAGTAGCTACTCCGAGGCAGGCAAACTCATCATAATTTTATGAGAGAGTATTCACGCTTCTATTTACAAAAACCATCGTTTTTAGTATTTACGGGTACTTATCCGTACTATAAAAAAGTTTGTTAGTGTAATGGATTCAAATTATAAAAATCAACTAAGAAAAATTGTAGCAAAACTAATGGACGAAAAGAAAATGATGATAATAAATGTTGATGATATTTTCGTTGGCGCAAAAATAGATTGTAATAAAGAGGAGGATTGCATAGAAAGCTGCGTGTACAAAGAACACAAAATAATACCAGCAGTAGCCAAGTGCTCGACAGAAGCCTAACAATCAATATAAAATTCAATTTCTGAGCGTAAAATTAAAATAAAAAAATACGGAATTTCGTAGCACTTTTGAACGTCTACTCACGAACTCGAACATGTATGTTGCAGACGTATGCGCCTCACGAACCACGAACTCGAACTTGAATTTTATTTATATGTACAGCAAAGTCAATTTTACTTTCACAAAAGTTCATGTGCATCTCTGCTACAAAGACGCTTCGACTGCTGAGACACTATAGGACCGAGAACACGAACATGTTAACTTGATTAGTAAGAGATTATTTTGCCAAAATATCTCGTCCATGCAAGCATTTTCTCTCCAGATAAGTTTGGAAAGTTATTTACTGGCCTTACAAGAAAAACTAATGTAAAATTTACTTGCTATGGCAACAAATTGAAAACTAGGTATAAAAAAAGTTGCCAGATGATCGCAGTTTTTATATTTAAATTAACTGTATACGTGCTTTATTGTATGTTGCAATTAAATTGTATTAGTTTTATTTTGATAAAGTTGTTTCAATCTAATAAACAATACTTTTTTTTAATCTCCTTGATTCCTTAATTTGAGAAGAGTATTTTATATGAAATTGAAGAGAGAAAAAATATAGGTTAGCCATATCAAATAACTATTTTACTTGATTGGTAGCTTCATATAGAGTTCATTCGAATAAAGTTATTGTGTATGTGGCTTATAATAATTATGCAAATTCTTATTCCGGTTGCAAACTAAACCGCTTCTTAAAGCCATACAATAATTTTGAGCAGATTCTTTGTATCTTGCATTTTCGAAAATTAGCTTGTTTAATATTTAAATATTTTGGAACTATATCGCAAAGTTAAAATATTAGGTGTTTTCAAAAATTTTAATCAGCGACTGCTACAAGTAAAAATAACGAAGACATGGGATATACCAGTGTACAAAACGGTTGAATTTGATGGTTTTGACCTTACCCTACATAAAATAACAGTTTTCTATTGCATTAATCATAGAACCCTCTAAATTACATTTTCGGCATTCATTACATTTCTAATTTGAATTGAAGATATCTGCTGCCGAAATTAATCAACCACGTTCAGAAGCTTATAGCTATGTACTCCATCGTATTCCAATTATCGATTTTGGTTTCAACGGTTTAAAAGTGGTGATTTTCATCTCAATGACAAAGAACGGCCGAGAGGAACAAAGAAATTCAAGGACCATGAATTGCAAGACTTATTTGCCGAAAATCCAGCACAAACATTTGAAAGATTTTCAGCTTAGCAGATGACGAACTAATTTTTCTAGACATTTATATGCGGCGCTAGAGATCCGAACAGGAGGAAAACGGCTACCTCGCAATTTGACTGAAAATGCCATTTTTGCTACTTATTGCAAGAGTTGTCCCGGA